CCCGGTGGGCCTGGAACTCACACGGGGAAGACAGATTATGAGTTTCACTGTTTTAATTTGGCTCTCATTTGGGATACCTGGGTTGGAATCCTTAGTAAGATGGTAGCATTTTTCATAAAATGCAGTTTACAATGCCAGCATTAGCTATCAACCCTAAATCCTCAGGCTAAATACCTAAAAGTGGTATCTACAGACAGCAAAGACAGTGTTGAAAGACATTTTTGTAGCAGAGTTCTTATTTTACAAGTGGACTCATTTACTTGATGTATTCAATATGCAGCAAACAGCAGATTATTGACAAAAATATACCACAAGACACAATGTCTTCTGTTGGAAGTATAGTAAATCAAATATAATGAAAAACAATAGAGTGAGGTGGATCGTGGCTATCACTTTAAACAGTTGGAATGCTATATGAAAAATATTTTATTGATCTTAAAAAGTCAAGGCCAGGTGGGATTGGTAGTCATATCTATCCACAACCTTCTCTCTCATGCATTTTATGAAAGATGATTTTGCATGCGATAATGTCAAACTGTCCAGCATCTTTTCTCTTAAACTCCGTCGGACACTTTTTTTCCCTCAAACTTTCCCATTGTCATGACGTATTTATTTTTTCTTCTCATGAGATGACCAAAAATGTAGATTGTCTCTTTCTGATGTGGGGAATTATTTTTCTTCGTGTGTTAATTTTTTTTTCAAGATATCATCACTACTTTTTTTATCTGTTCATGGTGATATCATTCATCTATAATACCACACCTCTGCCATTTTCACATAATTATTTTATAAACATACCACACCTCTGGTGTTTTCACATAATTATTTTAAAATATACCACACCTATGCTATTTTCACAGAATTATTTTATAAACATACCAAACCTCTGCTGTTTTCACATAATTATTTTATAAACAGATCACAATATAATTCAACTCTTTGTGTAATTATCATCACTTTCCCTAATTCAGTTCATAAAGTAGACAGTCATATGTTAGCATCCATCATTATCATGATTTGAATCTGTGACCTTTTGGCCAGCAGGCAAGCATTTAACTGCTCAACCACTATGGCTCCTACATTACTGGTATAGATTATCACATTTAAACATGTTTCTTAACTGCAAATGACATATTTTTACTAGTGAGTATATTTTGCATCTTTACAATTGAGATTCTGATGAGACAAGCTGAACAACATTATTCAGTCTAAGGATCAAAATGCAACTGATAATTTAGTATTTCAGCTGTTTAAAATTGTTACATTCTTCTTCTTCACTTCCTCTTTTACTGCTTTGGGTGTCAAGGGAGATATAAGGTTCTGCTTTTTCTTTTCTGTCTACCTCAGTGATAGATACATTATGCTGTTATTGTGTTTTGCTGATGTTATTTTCCCATCTTGTTCTCTCTGAAAGTTGAGTGCTCAGATGGACCGAATGTCGGGCATGCCTGCGTGCTCAATTTGTAACCCTTTGAAAATAAAGTTCATTCATTTGTTTGTGGTCTACCTCTTGCTATATGCCCTTATTCTCTTTTGGTGTATGCCTTATATTATGTGACCTCGCAATGCTTTCTCTCTAAGTGGGCAAACCATTTGATTTGCAGTGTTTGTATGTAATTTAGAATTGGTTCTGTGCTGACTTTTTCTCTGATTACCTCAATCCTGACTTCATCTCTTCTGATCACTCCTGCAGCCCTTCACATATATCTCATTTCCATAGTTACTAAATGTCTTTTCTGGTGAGTGCCCACTCCTGGCACTGGTAACATAAGGTGGGAATGAGTAGGCTTTGTATGAGATGTTTCTTTGTGCTATTTGGATTGTCTTATACTGTTAAAAAAACAAAAGTTGAAAAGGGGGGTGGGGGGGGGGGGTGCTAGCTGTACCAAGATTTGGCTTGCTTCATCTGATGTTAATTTGCTGTCAGCTATCTTAATGCAAATTGCTGTCAGCTACCTTAATGTAAATATTGTATCTGTGCATTTTCTGTTTCATCTAAATGTAGGAGCTGCAACTAGCAATGATCTTAATCTTTCAATTAATTTGGCAGGTGTGGCGCAGTAGTGACATTCTTGTATAATTAGTACAAGTGAGCACCAAATAAGTAAAGAAAAGGACCCTTTTCGACGCCTTCAGACTTATTGGGCATAATAGTGCTAGACCTATATTTTATAGACCAATCAGCACTTGGCGGGTGATGTGATCAATATCATGCCGACCACCTTTACTTCCCAAGACTGCTCATGGGACCCACTCAAGGCTGGGTCAACCCCTGGAAGCCAAGTTGTGAAGAAAGCCCAGTTCCATCAGGACCTAAGCCCACTACCTTCCGATCTGCAGTGCAAGAGTCTAGCTGCTACACCATGGGGACTCCCAGTTAGCCCCATATACCCAATCATATTTAAAGATGTGGCATAGAGTCCCTTCTTCTCATCATCATCATCCTGTCATGTATCACAAAAGGCTCACAGCCTAGACCATTCTTTTCTTCTTCTGCTTTCCTCTTCTCCTCCTCTGGCTTTAAACCTCTGTGGAAAGTTCTGGTTGTTCATACACTTTTGAACTTTGGTCTTGTTCCAGATCTTGAGTTTTGCCTTATCCTGTAAGATCCTTTCTTTGAATTTATTCCAGCACCTCTGGCCTCTCTCAGTAACAATCTATTCTTTCTTCTTCCTCCTCAGCATTCCGAGCACTTGAGGTTCATTGCTGCAGATATTACCCACCTCAATTCATCTCTCCAGTTGGTCTTCTCTTTCCTGTAGGTGACACCAAGTGTTTGCAGGTCTGTCTGGACATTATCTCTCTATATTCTTGGTCTGCCTTGTAGTCTACGATCATTTATCTCCCTGGTGTATACAGTTTTGTCTTCTCTGTCGTCTGACATTCTTTCAATATGCCCCAACCATTTCAGTCTATTAGCTCTCATGATACCAGTGATCAACAGCGATTTAAACAGATTATGAATTTAATTGTGGCGTCTCACTTTCCATTCTCCGCTGTTTTTATCTTTGATGGGTCCAAAGATTCGTCGTAATACTGTTTTCAAAAACCTGTAATAAGGCTTCATCACTTTTAGTTGTGGTATTCAATACTATAGTCACATAAAATCACAGCAAAATAACCTTTGTAATTAAAATGGGTACAATTGCATAGGTTATAAATATTTGAGCCACTTATTTCACTATAGCTGTACAAAACAGATACAAAATTTTATTTACATAGCTTAATTTTAATAAAGAATAAACTAGCATATATTTAAGCAAAGACTACATTGAGTTTAATATTGAGTGAATCAACTGAATAAGCTGAACTTTATCCTATATAGCTCAGTCTTTCTCCCCAGAGTGATTTCTTCGTCTGCCTTTCTAACCCCGAGTGGAGCATAGGCCCTCAACCAACTCACGCCGTTGTTCTATCCTTCACTATCGCATGCAGCTCTCCCCGTGTCCTTTCAATCTTTTTAGCTTTACTTTCTAGCTCCCTTCATGTGTTTTTTGGCCTTCCTTTATTTCTATGCCCCTGTGGGTTCCAAAGCAAAGACATTCTAGTTATTTTGTTCTCAGGTTTTCTCAGCATGTGACCTATCTAATGTCAGCATCTTTTCTTCACCTCTTGGCTCACTGGAATTTGTTTAGTTCTCTCCCAAAGCTCTACATTAGCGATTCTATCATACCATTTAATTCCCTTTATTCTGCACAGGCGCCAGTTAATGAATATTTTTAGTTTGTTAGTAATTGCATTAGTTGTTCTGCTCCATACAACAATACTGATTTGACATTAGAATTAATAATTTTAAGTTTAGTATTAGTTTTAATTTCTTGTGACCTATACATATTCCCTAGTGACAGGTCACCCACAAAAAGCATTGCGTTTTTTTTTACCTATACATATTCCCTAGTGACAGGTCACCCACAAAAAGCATTGCGTTTTTTTTACCTATACATATTCCCTAGTGACATGTCACCCACAAAAAGCATTGCGTTTTTTTTTTTACCTATACATATTCCCTAGTGACAGGTCACCCACCCACAAAAGCATTGCGTTTTTTTTTTACCTATACATATTCCCTAGTGACATGTCACCCACAAAAAGCATTGCGTTTTTTTTACCTATACATATTCCCTAGTGACAGGTCACCCACAAAAAGCATTGCGTTTTTTTTTTACCTATACATATTCCCTAGTGACATGTCACCCACAAAAAGCATTGCGTTTTTTTTACCTATACATATTCCCTAGTGACAGGTCACCCACAAAAAGCATTGCGTTTTTTTTACCTATACATATTCCCTAGTGACAGGTCACCCACAAAAAGCATTGCGTTTTTTTTTTACCTATACATATTCCCTAGTGACTGGACGCCCACGAAAAGCACTGAATTTCTTGTGACCTATACATATTCCCTGGTGACCGGTTGCCCACAAAAAGCATTGCCCAGCTCACAAATTTCATAGTCCAAGCACAGTTTGAAATTCATCCTATCATGTGCAATCCTTTCATTATCAAGGATGGAGTCCAGTTCAGCACCTTTGAACTCCTTTGTAAACATCTGCCTAAGGCATCCTAATTTCCTCAATCCATTTGTTCCCATTCCAATGCCTGTTTAATGATAACTACAGTGCAGATCGCTAAAGGCAATCTCAGATGTAGTGAATATCTGTTGTAAAAAAACAATTTCTTTATCCCCTGCAATTTTTCTTGGCTTGAATTCTTATCTGAATAATAGAAATTTCTGATAAGAAGAATCATTTCTTGGGTCCCCAGTGAGTTCTCTGTATCATGTCTATGCAAGTTGGAGATCCCCAAGCATGTACAATAAACAGCACAATCAGTTATTGCCACTTCAGCACAGACAAAACATTTTAATATTACTAAACTTTCCAGTAAAAAACACACCAGATAACAAGAGACATTTTACAAATGCCATTTTTGGTACACATAATAAATGCTGCATATTATCACATGAGATCCCTTTGTTCAAGCTTGAGCATATGGCGGGTCTTAGTTGAAAAGTATAGAATCTGGGTCCTGATTTTGTAGCTGAGCTATATGCCTTAGTACATCCTTTTTGGTGATGATTCCCAACAGGCGGCTGTATCAGAAAAAGAATAAACACAGAAAAAAAATGTTTAAAACAAAATGTTTAAAACAATCCATGTGCGAATATTGGATGTGTAAACAAAACAAAATATACACGGAGATAGAAAGAGACCTGTAATGTATGCCAGAAAACAAAAGTATAGAGCAATATTTGCTGAAGTGTAAGAAATCTGAAAACCAAAGGAAACAATTCACTGACTACATTTAGTAAATAAAAGACTAATGTAGTTCTTGGAGACAAAATCTGTAATCACCACCACACAGACAGGATTCAGACAGCACAGAAACACAGAGGACCAGTTGACATATCTGGCACAGGAGATAGAGAATGCCTTCCAGGAAAAAAAAAAGTTCTTGCTGTCTTCTTTGACCTCTTTTGTGCTTTCGATACAGTTTGGAAAGAAGGCCTACAACTAAAACTGCTACAGGCAGGAGTTGTGCACAACATGTACAAGTGGATCAAAGACTTTCTTCTTTTCCAATGCAGAGCCATATTCAGAATTAATGGACAATCGGCAAACTGGCAAAACTAAGAGAAGGAGTTCCCAAGGACAGTGCGATAGCACCAACTCTGTTCCTGGTTTACATAAATGATATCACAGCAACATGCCACCAGCCCGTTTATAATACCCTACATGCTGATGACTTTGCTGTTTGGACAGCCTCAGAATACACTACCACAGCCTCATATCTGTTACAGAAAACTGTAGAAAATGTAGAAGCCTGGACCAAAAAGTGGGGTCTAAAGCTAAATAATTCAAAAAGCACAGCATCACTTTTCTCTCTCTTCCCCAAAAAAGAAAAAAAATCAAAATTTTGATAAAAAACCAGCTCATTCCACAGACTGACACTCCTACCTTTCTTGGTGTTACACTTGATACGCGACTAACTTGGAAGTCACACGTAGAAGCAGTACAGGGGAAAGCATTCAAGAAGCTTGCAGTGATGAAAAAATTAGCGGGTACCACATGGGGCGCCAACTCCAGAATCCTAAAACAAGTATATACTGGAGCAGTCAGGCCAGTCATGGAATATGCCTCCACTGCATGGGCTGCAGCAGCCAAGACGACAATTGGAAAACTGGACAAGGTTCAGAATATGGGATTAAGGATTGTTCTCGGAGCTATAAAAACCACCCCCATCAGAGAGATAGAAAGGATAGCAGATACTGAACCACTCGAACTCAGAAGACAATACAAAACTCTTTTACAGTATGAGAAATTAAAAAGACTTGAAAGTCATCCACTGCATTTTAAATTTCAAGAGAGAACAAAAAACAGACTGAAGCGTCAGAGCCCCAACCACCTTGCTAGAGAACTGTACAGACAGCACCGAGATCTGCTTGAAAGAGATGTAGCACTGTGCCATAAACTTAGGCCAGAACCATGGACAAGCAAGCCAGAGAAGGCAAATGTAGTCCTAACGGTACTAGGGATCACTTCAAAAGATGCCCAGATGGAGGCACAACAGAGAACCCTGGCTCTTGCTATGCTTGATGAGAAGTATCCGAACACCACTTGGACTCAGGTTTTCACCGACTGCTCTGCTACAGAAGCAGTCAGAAAAGGGGGTTGTGGAATATACATCAAACCCCCTAGCAGTAGAGCAGAAACTCTCTCTCTCTACCAGCAGGTGACATCTGCACTAACTTCAGAGCTGAGGCAACTGCCCTCCTTTCTGCAGTCCAACATCTCATCAATCAAGAACACAGAGGGCACAAAATTGTTATACTTAGTGACTCATTGTTTGTTCTCAAAGCACGATCAAGCAAAAAACAAGACAAACTAATTGCAGATCTAAGGACCAACATTGGCTTACTCTCCAAGGAAACAGAACTGGTCTTGCAGTGGATACCAGCCCACTGTGGTATTCAAGGAAATGAGAGAGCAGATGAGTTGGCAAAAGCTGGGAGTAATCTTCCACAACCTCATCCACCACACAGCTATAAGGAAACCAAAACAGCGCTAAAGCAGTCTTTCAAGCGGGAGTGGCAGAATGGAGATCACAGACTAGAGAGTGACAGCATAAACAAACTCAACAAGAAAGAACAAACAACAATTTTTAGACTTCGGACTGGACACTGTGGTCTTCGAGCACACCTGTACAGGATAGGCATAAAAGAATCTGCTGCCTGTGATTGTGGAGCAGAAAGACAGACCCCTGGGCACATACTACAGTACTGCCCTAACCTCTCCCAGCAAAGACTGTGGATCTGGCCCAAGGGAGCCACATTGAAAGAGAAGCTATGGGGGACCGGTGGCGACCTTAAACGCACAATCCTATTTGTAACCCAGACGGGACTCAATGTCAAGCATGACTGATGTCGAACGCAGAAGAAGAAGAAGAAACTGACTACATGAATCTCTGTAAATTACCTATGATGACTGAAAACTTGCTGCACATAAACAGCCTCAGAGAGCTGCGTGGCAAGGTCAAGCAATTTATTACTTGGACTAAAATCTGTATATAGAAGGGTAGAGAATGACCATGTCATCTTTGAAGAGGTTTCCTCTAGAGTTAAAATCTAGGAGAATAACCAATGATTGCACACTAAGGAAACAATATATCCAGTATATTAATGCAACAATGTTGGTAAGATTGTATAATTATTCACAGTAACATTTCTATCATAATCACAACCCAAAATAAATTGAAACAATACAAATTACATTTTCGTCATATCAAAACAGTGGTTTGATACATACATTTAAAACAAAACAAATATATACTCTGAGAACTCAACAGTCTATATATCCCAATCATAACCCTGATTGTGGAACAGGATATTTTAGAAAAATTACTACTAATACGCAGACACATGCTTCATGAGCATAATGAGGGCTAACAGACTGCAATGATTGGGGCATAAGAGAAAATGGCAGATTGTAAAATGCAATTTATTTGTGATTTGCTGAAATTAGATGTCTCAAGCTAAAAGATGTAGAGATCACAGACTAGCTGTAAACCCCAATACAACATGCCAACCCATAAGGAGAACTTATTGGAGATAGCAATAAATGGTTATTCTTGTCATCTCTTTATGTTGTCCTTCCACATTTACAGTGATAAGGAGAACTTATTGGAGATAGCAAGAAATATTTCTTCACATCAGAAATTCCTCTTGTCCAGATACAAGTTTAGGCAAGACAAGTTGCAGGAGATATACAAATTGTTCTTCACAAAAGAAAACATCCACATTCAGATCACCTCAAGCAGTCTGCATTGTATTGTTATCTACTTCTTGCCTTCCACTATTCTCTTTAGTATGACTTTTAAAAGAGTGTTATATCTTTTATTGTGACTGAAATAATTCAACATTTTTCTTCTTCTAAATTTCCTTCAATAAATCTTTTAAATTCCATTCTCTTCAGAACCTCTGTACTGGTTTGATTTCTGTTTCCATGAGAATATGACCTATTCTTCTGAACACCCACCTAGTCAGAGACTCAATTTGATTTCACAGTTGCCTGTTCATTGTCCAGATTTCTGCACCATACAGTAGGGTTGAGTAGATATCACATTTTACAGTTCTCATTTATCTTCTTCTTCTGTTCATTCTTAGATGACATAATTTTGTTGTGCCTGTTTACAGCAAAGCTGCAATATTTGCACCTTTCAGCAGAACATTTGACTTCATCAAGCAATTGTTGAATGGGTTAACTTCCCAGAATTCTCATTTGTAATGTTTCTCTTTCTAGAAGTCAATAATTTCCCCATCTTGTTGAACATGTTTTTAACCATTCCTATGCTTTCTATGATTTCCATTTCTCTTTTGACATCATATGTTATTTCATGTCCAAGACAGGATTAACTTCTTACTTGTTCAATTTCTCTCCATTTACAGTGATTATTCACTGTCTGCCTCTGGTTCCATTGTTAATTAACATATTTTTTCATTTTGAAAATTAATATCTTAACATCCAAGGATGTGCTTGTGTCTGTTTTTTGTTGTTGCTCTGGATATTATGTGCCCAGAGGCCACGTTAGCGCAGTCGATAGGAGACTCACTTTCAAATCCAGCTGCGACTCACTGCAGCCCGCGGCCGGTGTTCGGTACTGGGCGGTTCACCCAGCCTCTAGGTAATGGGTACCAGAGTTAACACTGGGGTAAATTGAGGAACGCCCCTGTAGCTATGGAGGTGCATGTAGACGGCGACACAGGCGGACAGTTTCTTATCAACTGTCCGTACTGGTGGCAGAGCACTTATGGTTTATAACCGTGTGCAATGACGCTGGTTCACATCTCCCGACTTTACCTTTACGTTTATAATGTGCCGATCCTCCTGATAATATAAAACTGTGTGTATTGCAAACACTTACCCCTTGTGTGTAACTAGTGTCTGTCGGATACCCAACTTTCGGAACATTTCAACCACAATCTCCATTGGTGTCTGGTCAGTGATGGTCACTGGGGCCTGGGAATCAAAGAGAGCAATAATTATAAAAAAAATAAAGATACAAGTTGAGAGGACTGACTTCACTGAACCAGTTTATACCATAAGGTTTGGTCTTCCATTAAACAGCTCACTGCTGAGAGTGTTGCACAAAGCATGAACTCTGTAGCTCCAGCAATGATCCCCAGGAATCTTCATAAAAACTAAACTCGCCTAAATGGTCGAACCATTTAATTCTTTGTCTGTCGATATAATTTAGACACTGTCTTATTCCAACTTACTCTCTAACAGTGGCAGTCGCAACCCTATTCCTTCTTGTGTTAATGACTTTATTAAGACATTCCATTTCACAAGTAGTTATTTTCTAATTTAATTCAGATGAAGTAATAATTCACATCTATGGAAAGACTATGATTTTTTTTAAAAAGTTACAACCCCAGACTATAATTGGCAGCAATAGCTGCATATATAAAAGTGACAAGTTAAAAACTGTTATAGACAAAGTGACAAGTTAAAAGCTGTGACAATAAACTGACAATTATAATCAGTTACAGTCATTAAAGTGACAAGTTAAACTGTTCCATACATTAAACTGACCCCAAAAAATGGAGTTCAAACAAAGTGACAAGTAAAAACTGCTACAAAAATTACAGTGACAATCAAAAACTATGACATACATCAAAGTGACAAGCAAAAACCATTGCCTAAATTGAAGTAACAAGTAAAAATTGAATTAAAATGTGATGAAAGAGAAGACTGATATACCTCAGTCAGTTAATCAAAGACAAACTGAAAATACTTGCCATGTCTAGAATCTTGTAAAGTTTCAGTGGAGCTGGTCCTTGATGATTGATAGGAATGCTACTGGTGAAGTAGATGACTGAACTGCTCACAACACCCTCGGATCTCTTCCGTGCACTGGCTGGGGATATTAGATGTGAGTGTGTGTTAGATGTGAGTGTGTATTAGATGTAAGTTTGTGTTAGATGTGAGGTGAGCATGTGTTGGATATGTTTATGTTAGATGTAAGTACGAGGGCTATTCCAAAATCAACCTCTCATAGGCTGGTTAAAAAAAAAAAATTAACTGTTTGTCATAGCAACACCATTCCCTGCTTGCATCACTCAGTAGTCTTTTAGCTCACTACACATCAACCCAGTCACATCTGTTCAGTGATTCATGAATCACAAACAAATAAACATGGACACCATTATTGTCTTTCCCGCCAGCAATGAACAGTGTTGCTATGGCAAAGGTTTTTTGTTGTTGTTTACAAGCTGATCAGAGGTTCCAAAAATGCTGTGATGAAGGAGTCAGAGACAATGAATCACCGGATACTTTCAAAGGTGAACCAATGGTCCTCATTCTGGGTGCAGCAATGATGATATATGTCTTTTCAGGTTTTTCAAGTGAACCTGTCAACTTGCAACCACATTTCACTCACCATTTTGCTGTATGCCTCTTGAATATAGTGCACAGTGGTTGTAATGCTAGGTATGTATAATTCAGTATACATACAATTTTATTTAAATGGTTATTCCAAGGGTCTGCTATTCCCTCCATCCATTATTTGCCTGGTCGGCCTCTTCTTCACTTCCCACCTGGTCTGTACATCATTGTTGCTGTGGTAAACTGTTTGCTCACATCTATTTCACCAGCTGTCTTCTGAATAAAATCCAGAGCGGCCACCACCCCCATTCTCCTTCAGATTTCATAATTCCTGATCTTATCTCTTATTGTTTTATTAAGAGTCATTTGTAGGAATCTCATTTCAGTCGTAATTTTTCTTTTCTCCTTTTCCAGGTCTGGCGCTCTGGCACTGGTAGCACAGGATTGTCTTTACTGCTTTTATTTATTTAGCACTGTTAGGGAGATGTAGGACAGGGAGAGGGTGGAGGGGTGGGAGGGGGGGGGGGAGCCTGAGGGTTTAAGGCTACATGTCTAGTGCAGTCACCAGGAACTGCAGGTTAGGATTTTAATTTTTGCCCCCGACAGAAAGAATATCCATCCCTTACTGAGGACTGAATGCAAGTATCCTGCCTGAGAGACCAGAGCCCTAACCACTTAGCCAGCTGCTCCACCAGAATGCAAAGTAACAGCGTGGCTTCTTTATCCAATCCAACACTATCAGTATGGTGTTTCACTGGAAAGTGAAATGAAGAAGAAATGAAGTATTGTATAAAGAATGTGTCCCAGCAGGCAAACTCACCAAAGGCTGAACGTTGAATTAGGAATCAACATCATAGCACTCCGGGCACTCCCATAAGCTCTCCATCCCCAAATTCAGCAGCAAGCGAAGAGTTCCAATTCCGATGGTACCAGTAACTGTCTGATTGTATATCCATCTTGCCTTTTCCTTGAGTGTTGAGCGCCGGCCAGATCCCCTGGTAACTCCTCGCAGTGCCATTCTCCTCAGACTGTAATGATCAATTTGCATCTCTGCACTCTTCAATCACTCCTAAAGGGCCCTCACAACATCTAGCTTGTCACACATCAGTTCACCACAAAGTGAATTTACCAGTGGCTAAGATTAATGTATTATGATGGAATGTAAAATGAAGTGAAAGAGTAATAGTGGTGCATAAAGAATGTGTCCCAACAGGCAAACTCACCAATGGCTAAGATGATATCTCTGCGTAAAACAAAACCAACAAGGTACTGAGACTCCTTTGACACAACCACTGGGAAGCCATTGTGTTCAGTGTAGCTCATCAAGGCCTCTGAGAAAGAAACCAGAAAAAGTGCATGCTCTTAGTGTGCAATACATTTCTCATGTACAGAATTGCACCATTACTTTTAAAACGTCTTCACTTCAGTGTCTGTTTTGAGCATTGAGGAAAATATAATGCGCTGCTTCTTGCTCTTTTGTATGCTTTAATATCATACTGTTGTAGAGTTTTAATGCTTCAATATCATACTGTTGTAGAGTTTTAATGCTTCAATAACATACTGTTGTAGAGTTTTAATGCTTCAATAACATACTGTTGTAGAGTTTTAATGCTTCAATAACATACTGTTGTAGAATTTTATTGTTATCTTTCCACATTTTTTCTTGGTAGTCTCTATGTTGTTCTGTTTTGGTTTAAACTTTGTATAGTAATGCAACCACTGTTATTCACCCCCCCCCCCCTCCCCCCCCCCAAAAAAAAAAATTTACATTTCCTATAAGGTCACCTCCGCATGCTTTCCTTCCTTGACATTAATAACATGAACTCTTTCCTCTTTCTATATCAATGGTTTGTGCTTTGAAATAAACAATTTTACATCTTAGGAGGTTAACAATATTCAAAAGCAGTAGTTTAAAGTAACAAGTGGGACAGAATGTGTTAATGTAACAACTGACTGGAGCTAAAAGAGTTTAGAAAAAGCATTTTGTATTTGCAACACAGTGAAATATAGTGGGCTGCTATGTACTGATTGTGTTAAAGTAATAGTTATCTGGGATACACATGGAGTGGAGCTGGTTAAAGTAATATATGAGACAGACTGAATTGAAGTAACACATGGAACAGCATTGGTGAAAGTAACACAAGGGATAGAGATAGTTAAAGTAACAAAATTTGATACATTTGGCTAAAGTAACACATTGATATAGCTAATGAAAATAATAAAGGAGTTACTTAAAGTAACAGATGGAGCATATTTAGTGAAAGCAACAATGAACTATGATGAGCTGCTTGGTGCAGAATGGGTTAATATAATACTTATCTTGGACAGCTATAATGTAACACGTCAAGCACAGGAGTTGTTAAAGTAACACAACAGACAGATAAGATTTAATAAATAGGATACAGGAGTTGAAAGGAGCAAATAGGATACATCTGGCTAAAGTAACAAATGGATATAGCTCGTGGAAGAAACAAAGGAGACAGAGCTCGTTAAATTAATACATGGAATAGATGCTGTAGATGAGCTCTCTACCTGAAATAGGGAGATCCCATGCTGGCTAGTTAGCATTTCAGGAAAAACGGAGCCATAGACATTAGTGGCAGGCATGCCCCTCTCTCTCCCTCTCTCTCCCTCCCTCTCTCTCCCTCTCTCTCCCTCTCTCCTCCCTCTCCCTCCCTCTCCCTCCCTCTCCCCCTCTCCCCCTCCCTCCCTCCCTCCCTCCCCCTCCCTCCCTCCCTCCCTCCCTCCCTCCCTCCCTCCCTCCCTCCCTCCCTCCCTCCCTCCCTCCCTCTCTCTCTCTCTCTCTCTCTCTCTCTCTCTCTCTCTCTCTCTCTCTCTCTCTCTCGTTGTACCCCACCAGGACATCACACAAGCGATACAAACTGCCACTATGTGGATAAGGATTACCCGTGAAGAGGTCCCAGAAACCCCTTTCAGCCGTTAGGCCATATTTATGGCCCGGTTATTTTCAGGGCCCCCGACAAAAGCCAGGGTGGGGCTTCAAATAACAAAAAATTGCATCCCACATGGGGACACCTGCTCTCACATTAGCCTTCATAGAGGTGTTCTTGTCTGAAAACCACTGACAGGGAGAACAAAAAGAAGAAGAAAGAAGAACAGATTTGGTTGAAATCTGTAGATGGGATAATTCAAGACAATATTTTCCTATTGGGAATATGAATTCTGAGGACACAAATAATGTGATTTCTGTATTTCATTTGAAAGGATCAATGTTTTGTGGTTCATTATATGGTATGCTTCCCAACAGTGAAACTCTAGCTTTGTCTAGGCTACCATGCTCCGCAACTGTGAAACTCTAGCAGTGTCCAGGCTACTTTGCCCCCCCCCCCTCAAACTGTGAAACTCTAGCAGTGTCTAGGCTGCCATGCCCCCCCCCCCCCCCCCCCAACTGTGAAACTAGCAGTGTCTAGGCTTCCATGCCCCCCCCCCCCCAACAGTGAAACTAGCAGTGTCTAGGCTGCCATGCCCCCCCCCAACTGTGAAACTAGCAGTGTCTAGGCTTCCATGCCCCCCCCCCCCCCACCAGTGAAACTAGCAGTGTCTAGGCTGCCATGCCCCCGCCCCAACTGTGAAACTAGCAGTGTCTAGGCTTCCATTCCCCCCCCCCCCCCAACAGTGAAACTAGCAGTGTCTAGGCTTCCATGCCCCCCCCCCCCCAACAGTGAAACTAGCAGTGTCTAGGCTTCCATGCCCCCCCCCCCCCCCCAAACAGTGAAACTAGCAGTGTCTAGGCTTCCATGCCCCCCCCCCCCCCCAACAGTGAAACTAGCAGTGTCTAGGCTGCCATGCCCCCCCCCCCCCCAACAGTGAAACTAGCAGTGTCTAGGCTTCCATGCCCCCCCCCCCCAACAGTGAAACTAGCAGTGTCTAGGCTTCCATGCCCCCCCCCCCCCCAACCAGTGAAACTAGCAGTGTCTAGGCTGCCATGCACCTCTCCCCTCCAGTGAAACTTTAGCAGTGTCTAGGCTGCCATGCCCCCCCCCCCCCCCCCCCCCAGTGAAACTAGCTGTGTCTAGGCTGCCATGCCCCCCTCCCCTCCAGTGAAACTCTAGCAGTGTCTAGGCTGCCATGCCCCCCCCCCCCCCCTTCCAGTGAAACTCTAGCAGTATCTAGGCTACCATGCCCCCTCCCCCAACAGTGAAACTCTAGCAGTGTCTATGCTCCCCGGACATAGTTCTTGTAATTACGGGCACCTGTACCAAATACAAGGTAGATTACATTTAGAATATAAACAAGCTCAGTCTACTCACCCACTTGTTCCACAGTCATGGAGTCCTGGGTGATAACAGACAGTCCTGACTCATGTCGCCTGTTTACAGAAAAAACATTCCCCATATATTAGTCATAGTTTCACAAAAAAGCCACATTTTATACAGCTAAATGTAGAAGTTGAGTTGAGAACTAACATCACAGTACTCAGCATATTCCTATAAGTGATCTGTCCCTATCTTCAGCAGTCAGTGTAGAGTTCCAGTTCTGATGGTATCAGTAACTGCTAAATGTTTTTAAAAATAAAAAAGGTCAGACATAAAGGTGTTTCTTGTAGTAATTACAGCTGTACATGTCAGAAGAGTTATGCATTTATGTGAGCTGCTCATGGCTCAAAGGAAGCTTGGTTCATTTCTGTTTACTGCCTAGATTCCTAAAAGATAAGAAAATGATGGTACATATTCCCTTAGCCTAAAACAGTAGAATGGATAATTAGATTTCTCAAACGAAGGTGAAAAACTGAGGACTTGACTTCATGTTGTGTGTGTTATAGATTCTTTTGAAGGTGGAAATTTGTAAGAGCCAGATGATTACTTCTTCAGCATTCCAAGTCCTTGAGGCTCATGGCTGCAGATATCGCCTGCTTCCATTCATCTCTGTGATTGGCCTCTTCTTTCCTATATTCGGGGGCCCCGTTAGCACAGTCGATAGGAGACTCGCTTTCAAATCCAGCTGCGACTCACTACAGTGCTCGGCTGGAGTCCGAAACCAGGCTGTTCCAGGGGTTCACCCAGCCTCTATGTAATGGGCACCAGAGTTAACACTTTGGGGTAAATGGAGGAACGTCGCTGTAGCTACAGAGTTTTGTGCGGACAGCAACACAGGCGGACAGTTTCTTATCAGCTGTCTGTACTGGTGGCAGAGCATTTATGGTTTATAACCTTGTGCAATGACACTGGTTCACACCTCCCGACTTTACCTTTCCTATTGGTGACTCAAAGTGTTTGTAGGTATACCTGTGTATTCTCTCCAATTATCTTGGTCTGCCTCATGGTCTACTCCTGTTCAGTTTTTTCACAGACACATTTTGTTTTGTCTCTGTTATTTGCCATTTTTTCTTTATGTCCCAATCACTACAATCTATTAGTCCTCATTATGCCAGTAACTAATGGTGATTTAAACATTGTGACTTTCATCGTTGCTTCTCCCTCTCCACTCTTTGCTGTCTGCATCTTTGATTGGTGTAAAGATTCATCATAAGACTTTCTGAAAAGTTTGTTACAAAGCTTTACCTATTTTAGCTGTACTCCAAGTTTCAGAGCCACTGAGGACAATGGGTTTTATCAATGTCTTATATGTTTGAGTACACAACTATCTAGGCAAACTGTCACAAGAAAAGCTACCTAAAAGGAAGAATATTGATAGCATGTGTGATTGTTGTACACAAACATTTGAAACTTCTCCCCATGTGGGTTCCAGGGTCTCACGGTGGGGGAAAACAAGAACTGACTCATTGCCCCCCCCCCCCCCCCCCCCCCCCCCCCCCCCCCCCAACCCCAAGCGTGTCGTAAGAGTCAACTGACTGAAGATTTACTTCAAAGTCAGAGTGCATCTGCCCAAAAGGCATGAAACCAAAAGTCTGCCTACAAATATGTCAGTCTGTAAAACAGATGTGCATGCAACATTAAGGTTCTGGAACAAGACTAAATTCCAGAAGTGGATGAACAATCAGAACTTTCCGCCAGAGTTTAAGCTGCTGAACGCGAAAAAGAATCCTCAACAGTGCTATCGAGTTTGTGCACTGTACTTAGATTCTCCTGTTGTAATCTGCCAGAAACCAGAACACTTAAAGGAATATCAGCGTACAGTGAAAGTGATGCTTTACAAACCAAATGAGAACTACCAATTTAAATACTGAAATGTGAAACAGTGAATGAAGAGGACAGATGTACAATATAGGAAAGACATGAAAGAAGCTGCAGAAGATAGTACAGCTTGGCATGAATCGGTTGAGGGTTCAAATATGATTTGATAGAGGATAAAAAGCATGCGAAAAAGACTTGTTAAGTGTAATGAGTGTCACTGTCTGGGGTAAATGACAAGGCAGATGTGGTAATCACCCTTTGGGAACAAGCAACGAAATCAGCAGAGAAAGAAGATTATTATGGCCTGGAGAGAATGTGGCACCTGAGTGTATCCAGGGGGTCTGGTCCTCTGTCTACACTCAGAAGAAAGGCAAGAAGGACATATAACCAAATTGTGACAGGTACTATCAGCATTGAAACTCTGTGCTGGCTGCTGAAGATGAGAACGGAGCATGCATGGGAATACTCCGAGTGCCGTGATGTAAATTCTTGACTCAGCTGGGGTGTGATGTGTGTGTGTGTGTGTGTGTGTGTGTGTGTATATATATATATATATCTTTCAGTATCAAGAAATCATCTTCATTTTATTTATTTCTAATTTAATTGTCCCATGGGATCAAAACAAATATATACATACATATGAGCATATGTGTATGTACATGTACATATATCGATATATGTGTGCGTGAGTGTATGTATTTGTGATACACACTTACCGTGGCTTCATCACATCTGCTGCAATGGTTGTATGTGTAAACTCTTCTTTTGAGCCCAGGAATGGATAACCATTCAATGCTATATGGGCATCATATCTTCACTGTGTTAAGGAAAGCAGATACTCTTAATTACTGCACAGTGAGGCAGAAAGTATCTGTACATATAAGCATCACAAAGAACTAATGCCCAATGACATACACAAATGCACACACACACAAAAAAACACACTTTTGTGAGCTTTCCTAAATGAGAGGTCACATCCAAACAAGTTAGCGCACATTGAGCTTCATGTAATGTGAGCGCCATGGGAGCCACCATGGTCTGGCGGCTAGATGCTCGTCTGTGGATCTGAAAGTCATGGGTTCAAATCTGCAAAGTACCCGAGTTTTTCAAACCCAGCTTTGGTTCCCAGGTCGACCCAGCCTTAAATGGGTACCAGGTAAAGTCCTGGGAAGTAAAGATAAGGATGCTGGCATGATGCTGTTAAGTGCCCTCTTGATAGAAACTGTTATAGTTATCCCTCTGTAGATGTTGAGAAACCCAGCAGACTTTGCAAAAGCAACACATCTCCTACTACTACTTCTTCTTCCGCAAGCTACTTCTATAAAGTGAAGGTGGGATATGTGAGGATCCTCTGTATGCTCTTTTTAATGAATTGAATAAGTTGATAATTTTTCTAAGGCTGCTCTTGTTGCTGTTATTCCATGATTTGCATGGTCTCCCTCATGCCCTGTGTTCATTATGTTTCTTTAGAGTCGCTCTCTATGGCAGCTGGTATCAGAGCAATATTGTCAGATGGCCAGATCATCTCACCTGTTGCTTTTAAATAGTTAGTCATTTGACAGATTATTATCACTGCACATCGAACCATTCAGTCCATATTTGCTCGAATCCTCTCTTTAGTAAACCCTGCAGCATGTAGCGGCTCACAACACCAGTTCTATGTTTGTTTCTTATTCTTCTTTGGCTTCTTGCATAGTGTTTTTCTCTGGCCACACCCCTTTTTAACGTGTTGTTCTTGCAGTCTGGTCATTGTTGCAGATTCCGTCATCACTTGGTTCTTTAAATGTCTTACTTCTATTAGAGAATTCAGAATATCATCATGGTCCCCACTTGGCTTTTATTACAATCTGGTCTATGTGCTCAGTATATGCCAAGCTGTGATCAAATCATATTCCCAAGCACTTCATGGCCTGTGTTCTTTCCATAATCTCTGAGCATGGACTTACAGTTGGCATTGGGGTGTTGACAATATGGTTATCCAAAGAGAACCACGTCACTTCTGCCTTTGTAGGATTGACCAATGCACATGCTTCACCACACCAATTGTGTTGCTTTTTACTGAACAGTATTTCTGGTTTCATAGTCTTCAGCAGCTCTTCTAAGACATTTCATCTCTGCTGTGATGCTTTTGTCCTTATAAGGGTCTATGTGTCTTTGACACAGGTGGCAAGAGCTGTGATAGTGTGTTGTGTAGTGTGGCATGTGATGTGGGACATGGTGTATGGTATGGTGTGCCTATGGTGGTACAGTGTGTGGTGTGAAGGGGGGGGGGGGGGTGTGCATGTGCGTATACATAAATAATATCAAAGACATTTCAAATTGGTTCCACAGACATCACCAAATGTGTAAGGAGCGTGTGGACCAACTGGCAAGCAATGCACTCAGATATCCTCAACACTGTACAGACAAGGTTAGTGGATAATGACGAATCTCTGACACTAAGACAATTACACGACTTGTAAGTAAAGAATGGTGAATCACGCCTATGCTGCCTTCGAGGTCGAGATAGGAGACATTATAACCAGTATTTCATAGTACCAATCAACAGAGGTAACTTGATGTCCCTGCTGCATCAGAGAACTAATAATGCATGGGAATACCAAATATGCACTGACATTGATTGGGATAACATAACCAAATGGGAAACACTGATCTGCGTGCATTCAGTATTTCCCTGTAAACAGACTAACCCAATATGTCCCTGTAAACAAACTTTAGCCCAATGTCCACAATTAAGATAACAAAAACTCATTATTTCAAATGCAAGGATACATTCCCTCTTTGCCAAGGGCATCTCCGACCCACTTACTGGTCATGGCTGCTGCCATCATGGGGACAATGTACTCCAGTCCACCAGTCAGCTCAAACATGATGACTACAAGAGAAACTGTAAAAAAAAAAAAGACAATGAAAACAGTCAACCATGGTTCCTGCTTTGTAAACTTCACTTAGAAAAACTGCCTACACAACCTCACTAATGTTATGCCTTGAATTGGTAGAGGTATTTTTTTACATACTAGATTTCTGTTGTAGACATCATGTGTGACCGGACCGTTAGATTGTCATAGTTTCATTGACAGATCGCACTGACTAGTAGAAATGTACTGACGTAGTTATTAGCTGTAATGTGTGCTGTTTGTGGTATGATTAAATGTATCTAATTCTAATACATTACAGGGTAGATAATACGTGTTC